TAACTAGTACAATTCTGAAAAAAACAAAACATGGAAGCACTATATATTCTTGAATGATAGAGATCATTAAATAAATGGCAAAGAACTAATAAAAGTAGGGGTACCCCAACTTTGTGAACTAACTACCTATAGTGCCAAGCCCTACTAAGGCGGCCATTTTGAATTGAAACAAATATTTTATATTCATGTACATATTAAGGTTCATCCATGATTGAAAAACTACTAGTATCCTGGGACCCCAAAGCAAATTCAGCAGTATTTCATGAAATTCCCGTGTCAAAATTGCTTTAGTAGCGCATGCTTTGAATTCCTACATCTTTGACATTTTCAGCGTTTTGAGCAAATGTCTGCTGCTATGAAAAAAAGGATGTATTCCCAGAAACCGAGCCTTTCCGGGCCATGAAACGTTTTATTGAACGACGCCCATATCGGACTTCGGTGTAACTAAAGTAATGACGTTATCGAAGAGTGGGTTGCTACACAAAACGAGAACCCTGGAAGAATAAGAGATTCACTCACCACAGCAGTCTTCCCTGTTTGTTATTGTAACACCATACACATCTCTCGATTCAGTCAAGTCCACGTACCACCACGGCTCGTACTCCTTCGCTGTCATCGTGCAAGATCCTCCAGTGTAGATGGCGTTTTTATCCCCGTCTACAGCACGTTCCGCCCGGCCGCCTCTTTTCATCGAACTCTGTGCTACAGGCATGTGCGTGGCTATATTCATTACACCCGGTGCGATAGGACAGTCTGCAAAAAACAAACAAACAAATAAACAGTGTCATTTAGTGTGTCATCTGCACTCCAAATCCCGGCACTAAATTTCAGTGTTTGTTTTTATAAAACCGTACACATTCTAACCTGAATAAAACAAGAATGAAGACGTTACAGTCACTGTCAACTACTGATAATAATATGAATGCGAATAATTTATCGATATTTATGGGGAGCCGTTTTGAATCTAGCCTGAATCTAAATAAATGCACTAGTTGTGAAATACTTTTCAGGTTCCTACAAATCAGAGAAAAACAATTTTTTACAGTTAAAATATCCGCTGGGGTAAAATTGAGCCAACCAGTCCGATTTGTAGGAATTTCACAACTGGTATATTTGTTTATATTCGGGTCTGATTCAAGATGTTTTTTTCAGTCATTCGCATCATCCAGTTGTTTTAATGGTCCACCCCTATGTTCTATTGGGATACACATGTTCAGTTTCAGTTGTCGAGTCATTACAAACTAGGTCAACCAGCGAACTTCGTGTAAAACAAAATGTTAAATCACGTGTAATGTGTACATCTAGAATTAACATTCTACTGTGACGTTCTTTAATGGTATATCGTAGCATTTAGAACCATGGTACACAGCAAATCATTATTATTATATTATGTACCATGTTTCGTGCTATATCGACTCACAGCAGTGCTCACCTGAGGGGTCAAGGGTCAGCGGTACCATCACTTCCACTTCGCAAAGCGTCAATATTTCCGTCATACCAACCAACTGTATTGTGACGTACTGTCCGGACAGAGGCAATCCGCATGCGCAGATGACACCTATAGGGTTATCGTACACCACATCTTCTGGTATCATATCACCACACACGGAGTTTTCATACATAATTTCACTGTTCCCAACTCTTACTTCGGCGTTTATCAATGATTCAGCTGCAAGAAATGTATTCGTTGTCATGGTAACACATATTTCAATGTATTCATATTCAAATTCATGTCAAGGATTTATTTTGGTGCAGTGATCAAGAAAACATACACCCCGTTACACAATAACTATAGAAAGAGTTTTCCAAATAATATATATTTATTTTACTTAACCTGTTCCTGTTTTAACAATACATCGTGCGAAAAGTTGATTATACTAGTAGTAGAAAATAATTAACATATTTTGTAGCTTCTAATTTGAATTTGAAAAGTAACCCAGACAATATAATTCATTCGTCAATACAGATTACTATAAATATTCCTGCAAATAATGTTACAAATCATGTACGTATGTCACAGTTTTCTGCTATTGTCACTGAAATCAGCAATATCGTTACAAATAACTGACATAAACTACTAGTATATATTACCGATGGATATGTCTTCACATATTCCAATTATATCGTGACGTATCATGTCATTCAAACTCTTTTATGCATCGAAAATATCGACTTTCATGACGTCTGACTGACAACTATACGCACTATTCAATACTTCCGATGTTCCGAACATTATCCCGTTGAAAATAAACAGTTTTGTACACGGGTTTATACTACGAATCATCGCGTTTATCTCGTCCATACGTCGAGCCCGTTAGGAGACGTCTGATCTCAAAACTTAAAGTTCATCCGTCAAGCCACAGCTTTATCTAGGTATTCAGGATTTGTTCACATTGTTATATACACAGTAACTGGCATAGGGATGGGAAAACGATGGGAATGTGTGAGTGTGTTTATCCCGGTAGGACATCGACGTATAGGTTATCGTAAAATAAAAAAAGGTTGATTGCATATCAATTAGGTGAAATAACGCAAATGCGCATGCGTATACTTACCATCACTGTCCAATCTATTCGTAATATCGACTCGATATACGTCATACGATTCGCCAAGATCAACACGCCACCAAGGTTCTACCTCAAGTTGAGTCTGAGAACACGACTTCCCAACTGATAAATCAATAGTTTTTACACCGTCCACTGCTCTCAGGGATTTCGCACCCCCTTTTTTTGAGATCTGCGAAGTTTGCATCTTGAAAGCAATATTTATCAGGTCTTCGGGGACTTGGCACACTATTAGATCGAACACATATGACGAGGAGAGCTTAAGTCTCCACAAATAGTTAGTACACACAAATTTTGTCCTGCAATAACTTTTCCCCGTAAGGCCACGCCCTCTATCGGCGAATATCTTCCACAAATGTGTTACAGCAATTTTGAGGACAGAAACAACTTTTTTGTGTAGTCGTTTGTCATTCAGAATATAGCAAATCTCAATTTTATTATTTTATTGACGGACAATTACCACCTTCCTATTATCTATCATATGTATCATGGATGCGATTTGTCACAAGAGGGCGCGACGGTAAATTAGGTTCTGAAATCCCTTCAACAACTCGTGACTGTGAATATTGTGTATGCAACGAAATAACACGTTGTAGGAAACCTTAAAAAGATTGCAAGACAACATCGTTAAAGTGAATTGACATACATCGATTACACGATTAATTTGTGCTTGACATTGCGCAGATTAGCCATGTCCATACTAACTACATCACAGACAATGGATATGCAATTAGGGACGACGTCAAAAGATCGATGCCGGATAAAAAACTTACATTGTATTTGCTTTAGTTGGGGGGGGGGGGTTCCATCCTACAAAAACGATTTTATTTTTAATGAAGTCAAAAAATCTTGGGTATTTGTAGTTCGTTTTTTGTTCTACCCAATAATGGACAAAAATCCCGCGGGGGGGGGGGGGGGCTACTTGCATAGAAGTGCAATACGGGGTGTCATTTCACGTTATTTTGTTTAGAAGTGTATGGTCATTTATTTACTTTTTCACAGGTCCTTATATTCAAAGCCAAATACCGGAAAAGGCTGAATAAAATGCATTGTCTGGATGCGCTCACTGGTTGCGAAAGTTGTGAGCTGGGTATTTGTTTTTCGCAGAAAACACTTGTGTTTAGAAGTGGAAGTAACCCCTCCCCCCGAGACAAAAATAACAGAAAATGAAAAACACAAATCCAAGACTAGAAAATAGTTTGGTCCGAGTGTAAATGTGTGTGTCAAATGAGCTCAATTTCAGGGCATGGACCTAGAGCATAGACAGAACGCCATGATCAATATTTGTCACTTAAGTTTCAGTGGGGGGGGGGGGACTAAAAGATTTTTTATCCTACATTGAACTTTTGATGTTGTCCTTAAACGTTGAAAGAGAACTTAACAAGATTGCCAGACATCTTCGTTAAAGTGAATTGACCTACATGGATTACATGAATAATTTGTGCCTGACATTGCGTAGATTAGCCATATGCACTCTAAATACAACGCATATAACATTGCTATGCCATTGCCGAAACTGTGAACAGGTATGTGAATGAACGTAACGCCCCCTTGCGACAACGAACTACGACGTCAAAATGGCGTACAGGTTCACAACGTCGACGTTGTTCAACTATGTTTGGTTAATGTATAGACGTCTGTTATATTTAAAGACGTTTACTTCACATGAGAAACACTTTGTTAAAAGAATCAAAATAACTATTGCGAATGAACTGCATCAGCAATAGAACCTAACCACGTGACGTCACCACCAGCCCCAGTTGCGCCCTCTGTTGTCGAGCGCGATGCCTTACCTGGTGGATTCGGCTGTTCTTCAAGCGTATCGATGCTTTCAAAATAGGAGTACACTTCAACCTCGCATAGCGACAAAGCGGTCCTTGTTCCGTCCCTGTCGATGCTTACATAGCGGGCCTTAAAGTCACTACCCAAAGAATCACAGTCGACTGGAATCATGGGACCGTTGGTAATCATCTCTTCTGTGATGACGGCACACACTGGATTATCCAGAAAGTTGACACCACTGTTTCCAGCACGAACTGTGGCACCTATCAATCTTGTGTCTAGAGAAATTACAAATAAGCTGTATATCATATCGATAACCAATAATAATATCATTTTAATTAAATAATCATGTTATTTTATAGATGCTATAATATGAACAAAATAGACAGCTGCAATCAGTTAATTGTATAATGTTCATTTAACATTGACAACAACGTTAACGAGGATTGTACTTATGACTAGTAAGTTTCCTCGCCAAGATTCTGCTCTTTCAAGTTATTTATAATATATTCAGTTTCTAAGAACTTATTTACACCAACTTTACATTTCAAGCAGCTCCCTTTGGGGGAAGGATACGATATTTGGTAATGGTAGTGATGCGGTTGACCGATTACCACAGCATGGTAACAATAAATATATACCAGAAGATAAGAAACCTTACCACAGCAATCTTCTCTGTTGTGTATTGCGATGTCAAAGATCAGCCTGGGTATCATCAAGTCCACTATCCACCAAGGATTAAACTGTGTCTTCGTCAATGTACAGGATCCATGACAGAATACACCATCAATATCGCCATCTACGGCTCGGGTGGAATTAGCATGCCAGATCGTTGAGCTCTGATAGGTTGGTTTTCTATATGCTATGTTTGCCACTGAAAAACGGAAACAACATATTTACATTTGCGTAACAATCCACCAATCACTGCGACATATACAGGTGTACCGGGAAGATGATAAGTAAAGAGACATGTAATTGGTCGCTGTCGCGCTTCACATCCACTACTCGAGACAACAACTTGATAACAATGTGATTAAGCCGTAGAATGCGAATACAGTTTCACAAAGCTCAGTCAACGTTGTTAAAATTATGCGCCACCATTTCATACTTTGAATGAAGGAGATGTTTGCATCATAATAGTGGATATTTGTCACTCAGGAAATGTTTTCTCTTAGAGTACATCTAGGTACGTCCAGGGTGAATCATTCGACCCTGGGAATGTGAATGTGCCAACATTTCCTCTACAACGCCTTGTATGCAATTTTTATACTCGGTTTTTAACTTACAATGTTTCCCAACAACTCGTTCAGCCACCCACTCACCATGATTCAAAATGTCCGACCCCTTATTCGAACGTATAACAGTATATACATCACATAGCCTAGCAACCAGTATGAGCATGTTAACCTCGATGTCTTGTTCTAATAATTACTACGTACGCAAATGTTACTAAATAATATGATCTAACGACTTTTTTGTGTCGTTTCAACATTCACAGAAATTTAGGGGTGAATAACACATGATAGAATAGCCATCAAGTGACAGAGTTCCTCGAACAGCCCTTCACGTTACCCCCCCCCACTGAATTGACACTGACAGATATGAGTGTGGATACGCGATTCATCAAATCACACACCTGTGCCTGTTATTGGAAGATCATTAATCACACGTCAACCTCAGACGTGCACGTATGTCCAGCAGATGTCATGCGCAGAACGAGTATGTTATCAAACATGCCAGTGATGACGATAATATGCAATACACTAAAATGAATTTATAATTCTACAAAGCAGAAGACGAAATCTACAAAATGGGGTCTGACTGATGGCAACGTTGTACATGTATTTTGGAATTGCAACTTCATTCAAAGGATATTTTTAATGTCAATGCGAACCAATCAGATAACTCCTTACATTAGCTTATACACGTATCGATACTATCAGTAACATCAATTAAAGGACGGTGGTCGTCGCGCCGCGGATGTGCGACATTTGCGTTGATAAACATTGATTATCCCTTAATCCAATATAATGAAAATCAGTACGAGATTTGAACCGGGTGCAACGTAAACTAATCACCTTCCAATCACTAAAATATCACATAGTTAAAGCTCGATAACGTCACAGTCAAAGTCGCCATCCTTGATAATATGAGTCATAATATCTCGCGTACGCGTGGCGCGACGACCGCCGCCCTTTAAGTACTCGGAATTGATCGTTCATTGGTTGTCAAAGCTATACTGCGCAGGACTACTTACAAAATGGCGGACGAGTCGGGGGTATTGGTAATGTCATCACATCTACCTCGCACAGTGTCAGAATCTGCGTACTTTCCTGTAGTCGAATGATGACGTAGCGCCCTACGAGTGGTTCATCACAGGCACAGACAAACTCAATGGTTTCTTGTAAAGCCACTTTTCTAGAAACCCTTGTACCGCACAAAGCGTTGTCGTCAAAGTTAATACTGTCTCCGACTCGAACTTCGGCGTTCTTCAACTTAGCCGCTGGAAGAAAAGAAAAGTTCCTAGTGATAAACACTTTCGTCGAAATACGGCAACTATTTTCCAAGATGCCAATTTCGCCAAGATCGTCGAACCTTGGTAACTCGATTGACATTCGACTAAACTCATAACTAATCCTCTACCCAATAACATATTGTGTCTAGTCATTATTATGAAAATTTAGCCATTTTTTATATCAAATGGGCATTGTCGTAGAACCCAGAATGTGGAGGGAGTGTATGACACGATTGGCCGAACATTTTTACTCATTAACTAATATTCATAAGTCTTTTGGTTAACACTTGGCAAACATGCGATTCCACAGTCGACATGATATTTCAAAATTCACTCAGGCTGATTCTATCGTTATGAGTGAAACAATTCTTTAAGGTAGAAACCTACATATAATATCGCGAGAGTTGGTCATAAATCGCATGTCAATTTTGATTAGTTAATTATGTACAATCGTGGAGCTGTTGTCACATGGCACAATAAAATAACATTGTTGTGTGTTACGGTAACGTATTTTGAGTAACTTATCCTATTATTTTGTTTTTGAAAATCACAATTTAAAACAGAATTCTTCAGTTCCGGTCGGAACAAGGCAGGAGCACATTCTTACATTTCATTGTTGTGCTGTGTCTGGATGGTCCTTACACAGAACAAGGCGAACACTGCGGGTATGTGCTACACACACCCCATGGCCCCAATTAATAACTTTACCATCACGAACAACCTTTAAATCTGGTCAAGCTAGACACATAATTCGAGTTTATTATTATTCGTATTTAGAACTTGCCTATAAAAGCTAATTGGAATTTAAGTAATTCTCTAAAAAAATGGCCGCTACGTAAACGACGACAGTTTCGCTGCACGAGAGAAGTTAGTGAAAATTGGAAAATCTTATCGACAGCAAAGGATTCCGCATGGTATGCTCGTTATCGAGATTTAAGATTTGAGATATACGATTTGAGTTTAATGTTATACGGGAAATAAAACCCAAAGCTTAATAAGCCTTGGAATCAAAATGGCGGACTATTTGGAACATCACTATTTTGTCTTTTGTACATATGAAGATATCAATGTTCATAGGCATCTTTGTTAACGGCAAAAAATGTTGGGTTATTGGGTTGGATTTAATAAGAACATGCATAGACATGGAGCAAGTATGGCAAGTGCTGCTGAAGTCAATTATCTAATTTGCATATTATTCAAATTTCATATACTAGTATTACTTATACCTAATATACCTATACTAAATGAAAAAAATATTTCTGTATAACTGTAGGTGATGGGTTTGCAATCTTAATACGGTCAGTATTTACCATCTTGGTCACGTGGCCCTGGTTTGTTTGACAATACAAAACACACCGATATTATGAATTCACTTGAGAAATAGTGGGATTAATCATCTGTTTCTCCAACTGTGTTTAAATTTTTTTATGAGGATACTCACCACAGCAGTCCTGCCTGTTAGTGATAACGACCTTGTAAATCTCTCGAGACTCCATGAGATCCACACTCCACCACGGCTGGAATTCTTTAATCGTCTTTGTGCAAGATTTCATTGCAAAAGAACTATTTCTGTTGTCGTCTACTGCCTTCTCTGCCCCAAACCTACCCTTTGTTGAACTCTGATTTGCCATCATACCAGTGGATACACTAATCAAATCATCCGGAACTATGCAGACTAAATGTGAAACAAAAAACAATGTAACACTTGAAAAATAAGAGTCATCGTTAATCGAGAAATGCGCATGCGCACAATGTTACTTCCAACTTACTTTCCGGTAAGTGTATAACTTCTTCTAAAGCCCAGACATCAACTTCACAGAGAGTCAACGCTTGTGTCATGTTTTGTAGTCGAATTGAGACGTAGCGTCCTGTCATTGGCTTCCCACATTTGCATGCAATATCGATCGTTTCATTTTCAGACATTTTCCTGGACACCCGTTTGCCACATCGGGGATTTTCATCAAAATTTTCACTGTCCCCGATGTGAATCTCAGCTTTCTTCAACCTGGTCGCTATAAAAAGGAGAACGTTTCTAATCATTTGCAAATTGCACTATTAGATTATGCTTTATTCAAGTCTAGATACTATTTTGTGACAAAAAATAAATAAACATTTATTGGACCTTTGAATACTACTGAAACGATCTTCCGAGAACTACAAATAAAGCTAATTTATTATAGATCTTTGCCAATTCGACCCAAGGTCGGAACCTCGGCATGTGCGTATTCTAATGTTTTCGTTATTGTGATGTGTCTGGATAGTTCTTACATAGAACATGACTAACACTGCGGCGATATGTGCAGTTCAATCGAACACCATTTAACTGTGATCAAGCCAGACACTTAATTCCGGTTTGTTATTGTTATATTTTCCGGGAAATGCAAATATTTTTTTAAAGGGCGCACAGCTACTTAGAGATCAAGAGGTCAAATACCTAATCCCGAGATAAGATATCCCGTTCTTCTGTGAGCTGCACTTTCTGAATTTGCGTTGGTATTGTTTTATAATCGTAGAACTGGTAAGTACCTAGTAAGCTGGTTATAAGTCAATTTGTTTGTCAGTTTAACTAACCTAGCTTGACAGTCGTCTTTTCCACGATTTACCCTAGTCGTATTTCCATGTATGCGAAATACCACGTAATTCGTCACGGTTACTGAAGGTTTGAAACAATTATTTCGCCTGATACCACAACATAGTCTCAGCTGCACCAAATAACATTTCCTGTTGTTGTTTACTGGTAAACTACCGCATACTTACCACAGCAGTCTTGTCTATTTGTAATAGTAACCTTATACACGGACCTGGTCGCTCCCAAATCAACTCGCCACCAGGGTTGGAACTCTTTAAGTGTCATCGTGCATGATTTCTGGTTAAATACACTGTTTCTGTTGTCGTCGACCGCCTTTTCCGATCTACCACTCCCCTTCACTGAGCTCTGTTCTGTCACCATGCCAGTTGACATATTAATCAGGCCATCGGGAAGTGTACAATCTGAGTAAGGTGAAGAACACGTAAATGCAAGCGACATTCCAAATCAAACTAGAGCGTATAGGGTCATAACAATAGTAAACTGATGTAAACCACGGTAACAGAACATTTCCCGTTCAGACCGTCATTTCTAACATTGCTTTCAAGGCAGCTTTCGTTCTCTGCTTTAAATCAAAGGTTTTTAATGACGTCACTTTAACATGTTAATGAGCTAAGATTGTTCACAAGCAATTCAATCTAACTGAAAAAAAACCTCCATGTGAACGAATAGTTATATACACATACATTAACCATGGTGAGAGTAGCCATTTAAGCCACTAACTAATCAAGACCTGATCACTATAATAAGTTATTTTTGCGCAAAATTATCAAAAGACGGTAGAAAACACATACAATTTGGCCAAAAATGTGCATTAAAAATTAGAGTATAGAAAAGCACAAAGAAAAATCGCACCAACAGTTTGATGAAAACAAACACGATGAAGCTCAAAGGATTATTTACACATAATATATGCACAATCAAATGTTAGATCTAATCTTTAACAAATCTGACTTGTTCACTCTTTTCAGATTAATCTGACGGTGTCATAGAAACTGACATGACGCAGAGAACGAGATGTTTCACAACAGATATATGAACAGAATTGTACACGAGTGAACTCTTGAATGGTTGTCGTTCCGCAAGACCCACTTGACAACGATACTTACTTGACTTGAAAGCAACATGTCAGTGACTAAAGCCTAATAGAATCTACTAAGTGAATTACAGCATGGTATGGCAAGAACCCGTTCAGTTAAGTTTAAACTTTTATAACATACCTCTTGCAGTGACTACATCGGCAACATGACAGAGTAACAGCACATACAGCAGAAAGTGCCTCATAGTTGAATACCGAGATGAAGATACATCATCTCGCGTGACTCGACTATATATACACGCATTTCACCGTGCCAGTTGGTCTTTTTTGTTGTCCTATCAATCACATTCATCACACGACGGTGCCAATTTCCTGACATACCGTATCCAGATGTGAGAATTCATATTGTAATTGTTAGTTCACCATGTGTTTATTTATCCCTATGCCATGTAGTTATCTTCTTACAACTGTTATGGATATATTCAACGACAATTATACACCACAGGTGTAACATAAGCTGATTACATTATATTGGAGTGCGCGGACGCTGCCTTTAGATCGGATGTAATATTTGAAGTTGCATACCTAGTTTGTTTGGAGCGTAGGAAACCTGTCACTAATCCTTGCAAGCATTATAAAAGATTTGGTATTTTGACCAGTTTATGAGAAATGTTATCCGGTAGAATCCTGAAATAGAATTTAGACGAACCCCCTAAAATAAAGTAAAGTGGCCTTGAGTGATTACAAAAATTATATGCCAATACTTCATGATTTGTTGCCAGGGCAACTAATTTTATCAATCTCACAATGATCATATTTATCAGTGGAGGTGTTTTGCATATAATGTAAAGTGGAAATGATGAACGTAGCTCACTTTCTTGACAAGGAAATTTGTTAATTATTTTAGTTGAACTAATCGGTGTGGGCGCGGTATTTTGTATAACAGTGGTCATTTTACGCCCTTGGAATGTACGTGGATTGTAGCAGTTTTATTCTAAATACGGAAACAACAAAACCATGCATCATTTAATGTAACAAGTGTGGGTGACATAATTATGACAATAACTGTATCCCCGGACGTGGTTTATGTTCTTTAAATACTTTGTTAATGTCATGACTCACGTTGATGCCCAATTTATAATGAATGGGGGTTGCGTCAGTAACGTTCCAAAATTTACCGTAATATTGTGCATGTAATCGCAAAGAGAACAGTCTACAATTTGCCACGAGACAATATCGACAGAGAAAATGAGACAAATAGGCATATTCTGTCATGGCGTGTAGTTTTTAAGCTGAAAGAGTGAGCGTCCCGTAATATAATTGCAGAAACGCCCATTACTGATGGTGATGAAGACTGTGATGGAGATTCTGCAAAGAAAGAAAACGACTGAAATCCGCATTCAAAATGTGTTAGGCGCATGCGTAGTGTGCAGTCGACGATAGATGGCGCAATTCGTGTCATTTTAGTAACACGTATCAACATTATTATAATATGTGCTTATGTTGTTGACAATGCATGTGTATGACCCTTGTCTATGACACACGTGTATTTTCGACAGATACAGTCAGGCGCTCTTCTATCAGTCTGACAGTAGTTAGAATTGTTATCATCGTTGTTTTAAATGAAACGATTATTCATAATATGACAAGTTGTCAATTTTCGATTCTGCAATTAATTGGGTCCTTTCAAAAAATAATTTGCTCTTTGTTAATAATTGGTGTAACGCTGCTTTATCATTGTCATCTTTATGGACATGCTGATCAATAAGCGTCACATTGTCCGCGTAACTGTTCTTAGGAGATTACGAGATTCGACGTCACATGCTATGCTTATCAATGTTAATTTAAACCACCGTCCCGCAATCCCTGGGATAGCACCAATAACATTTCTGGAACACACTCTGTGAAACCTAACTGTCGAAGATGAAACTAATAGCATTTCAGTTGCTTCTTCTACTGGAAGTTTTCTTTCCCGAGAGAGGCTCGGCTACGCGTTCACGTTGACGTAGACTTTCGTGGTGATAAATCGCTCGACTACATGTTTTCTATTTCCAATTTTAAATCAGGGCTCTTACCCAGATGAAAGATGATGATGAAAGATGACCGTTCAAAACATTCCCATAATAACTGAGAGACGTGTGGGCTCGAATCGCTTTTTTTTCGCGATGAATATCTGGCTTTCAGGTATCGGTTGACTCACATAGGTTTTGCAAATTCAGCTATTTTAGAATTATCTGATGGCGATTTTACTCTGTCGAGACTGCCCGTTATTGGGTTTGGCATGAATACATTATTCCATCGTGCACTTTTGCATTTGAGACTGATAGTGTGTCTTTGTTCGCGTACTTACTCCAAGCATGGAGGTACTAACTTCTTACAATGGGTTACGCTAATCTCGAGAATTCGGTAATATACGGAGCAAGGAATAGACAAACTGCGCATGTACATAATGGAAAATTTACATATATAACATCGATTGAAGAAGAACTGATGAAGTATCGCGAATCTGTTTGTATTTGTAACGGTGATGAGACTTAATCAATGATTGCCTGTGACAATAACGATTGCATTATTCAATGGTACCATTGTCAGTGCGTGGGTTTGACGCCCGAAACTGTTCATCGGCATCGGCGAACACCATCAGAAATGACAGTATCGAAAGAAGGGCATGTCTAGACACTTTCTCTGCAATAATATTTTTAGGAGTCTTTAGGCATTTTCGTTGTAGACTCTCGAAATCTTGTTCTTGTTACAGTTGCTAATAATTATACATGTGAAACATGTGAAGTAACAAGTTCATCTGTTGAATTTCCGGTTGTGAAATGCGTATTTTAACCCTTCACAGCTAAACAAACCCAGTGCGCATGTGTGATGACCGTAGTTTCATAATGCGCATATATTTTATAGTCACGTTAAAACAAATCGGCGAGGTTATATGATATTCCGCTAACTGGTTACTTGTTTAAGCAATCGCAAACTGTCATCGACATCAAAGATGAGCTAGACAATGTCCTTATCAGGATTAACTTGGGTTGAAACAAAAGGAAATAAGCCAGTTAAGAGGCTTATGGTAGTACACTGTATGTACCTCCATGTTCCAAGGAAGTATATTTGAATGTACACATAACATAAAGCTGAAATATAGCAAACATGACGTCGGATTGACTTCACTACCCCAACATCCAGAATTAATGCTAAAACCAACCTAGATTTGTTTCCCATGACCAACGTAACAATTAATCATTACCATCTTCAATACACTTGAATGGCCGCCGAGATCTCATGAAGAGCGAGAATTCCATATACCCGACAATCGTATGGACGAGGCCACGGTGTTGGGAAGAATCGTATTATTATTTTGACGGATAATGTGCCTAGTTTGGTCACTGAATACTGTTCCTCTATACGAGGATATGAAATTAATTAAACATAAACATACGCCAAACACTGACAACTAATAAATCGATTTTTACAACATGAAATTTAATATGATCATACAAGAATGTCAAAATCGAGAACATATGTATAAATATGTATGTAAATATTTATATATTCATTTAATAATATGAGGTTATTACGAGGATACCCCAAAGTATGCACGAAGACAGTACAGCGGGAGTATGCGCGGAGGTCGATGCGCGACGTACTGTCTGAGTGCATACTTTGAGGTTGCCTCGTAATAACCTTATTATTATACATCTTTGTCTTCCAAGGATACATCATGGGAATACCGAAATCCAAAAAGTTTAAAACAGAATCAGCGAAGTTCTTTGTATGGAGTCCAGTCAAACCTTTGTGGCAGCCATATTTGTTTTAGAGGACGCTTACGCGTAATTATTCTATTTTTGGAATTCGCATTTCCTTATATGGTAGGATGAAAATACCCCGTAAAATGCCGCAAAATTATGGCACGCTGTAACTTATGGCGTTACTGTGACAGATGTATAATAATGATCTTTATGACAACCTCTGAGGACAATTGTCGGAATACCACGTCCTTAAAGTGGGTTAAAGGGGTGTTTTCTATGGTTAAGACGGGGGTCCTGGGACTTCAGGGTAATACAAACTTATTGTGAACAGAGTCTTGGTTTGATACATTTGTAAGTAGGGGGTTTGATTCTTACCTGTTATTTTTTACTAGTGGCTTTCAATGGCGGTTTTAAACTGTTCGAAATTTCTTCTTTCCTAATCCGTTCTGCATGATATCACTGGTCTTAACTTGTGTTTAAATCATTACCATTCTCTATGGTGTTGTTGCATTGAGTATCAGAACACTTTTAGTGGTCTAAGTCAAGTGTCAGATATAAAATTCAGGTGTACATTTTCCCGTGGCAGTTTTGAAGCTGTGAAAACAAAAACAATTGAACAAACGATCGAACAAAAAAACAAACACAATAAACTACGTAGAATTAATTGAACATTTGATGGGTTATTTGGGAAAATATAATTAATTAATGAAATAATTGCTCTCCCTGTCGAGGTATTAATTACTTTTCAAACCATATAAAATGTATGGACCATTGCATGAAAACTACATGCAACACAGTCAACATGGCTGGGACATCGGCTACTGGTTCAACCGTACTGGGTATATTGGTCGTTGTCTTGGCCAATGTTCCACACGGTGTATTCTCGCAAGGTGAGGAGGAGTTATTATTTTTGTAAACATGCAAATCTTTTATTTGAACGATGTATGTTTCCACAAAAAATCACATTGATAATTTAGACGAACCAGAAATGTGTCAAAACGTGTGTCAAGTATTACAATTGGTGCACGGGGTGATACGCTTGCCGGTAAATAGTATTCAGTGTTAGTGCCTTTCGTGCCTTTGAATCATCGATACTTAAATTTACGTATCCTACTAATACCGCCACGACAGAATACTTAGAGCTACTCAGAGGCTAGACTTGCACACAGTCTCTTGTTTATTTATTTGTTGTTTCTTGAATGAAATAAAATATCGAAATAATATTTCGTGGTAATCCGGCTTTCGCCATTTATACATTCGCATATTGATTTGATTAATCACAAACACCAACAAATAAACAAGAGACTGTATGCAAGTCTACTCAGAGGCGATGTCTGTCTGTCTTGAATATTGGAATCATTGAACAAAATCGTGTTTTTTTTAAAGTTTAGAGTGATAACAACTCTACAGAGCAAGATCAAATTACCTATCAGTGCTGAGTGTTTATTATTACCTAATAATGTCTTTTAATGTGAAATGGTGTATATCTATATACTAGTAGTCAGTTTGGTCTTTAATCCATTTAACAATCCATTTATTCATAAAATAAATGTTCTATTGTTTCTAGACTCGACTCGCAGAATGTGCACAAAGCCGATTCTGCTTTTCCCCATTTTAATTAAACTATAGTTTGTAGCTAAAAACCTATGAATGATTTTATATTGAAAGGCTTGCAATTTGGTATCTTTTAGAAGGGTCTAGCAAATATTAAATGCTATTCAATATCTGGCTCGCCTAGAATTGATTTATGCATGATTTTACTCGGCATTTGGTTAATTTCATTTACGATTTCTTGTTTGACTCCTGAAGCGACGAGTTATAATACCAAGATCACGAGTAAAACGATGAATATTACGATACTGTCGTGTAATAAGCGTTGTATCATACATGGTATCACCGATTGGTTGGACTGTATGTAACACCTCGGGACAGTATCTCCCGGTTAATGTGTAGTAATACAAACATAAACACTGGCTGAATCGCGAAAGTGAAGTATAGTAATTTAGTATCCAATTCGTAAATTATTAAATCGACTGAAATAAGATAAAGTCGTTTGTGATTAGTATATACATGCGCGAACCGTGAAACGCCTAGATAAATACCAAGCTATAAACTAATGTTCCAAATGCGATGCGTAGTTTTCGATGTTAAACTGTCGACCCACTCCCGTCACGGTGTTTTCCGTTATATTGCTCATTTTCAGTAGACTATCATGGAACACCAGATAGAAAATAAATTGCACTATATATACTGTAAACCTTTTAATTTTCACAGCTCGTGAAATTAAAGCCAGTATATAAGTTGTGTGTAACTCCGCCTCTTCGGCCGGGTACTAGTAGGTTTTCTTTGACATGAGGTGTAAGTACTACACCTAAACACAGAGCAAATTTGGAAATCATCCATGTAAACTTTATACATTCGAGTTACACAGTAAAACAGATGGATTTTGTAAATTAGAAGAAGCTGATATTGGTGAAGAGATACTATCACAATCTGTTTAGAAATATATGTAATTCATCGAATTATTTGCGTAATACGATATTCCCCGTTATGTCCTCGTTTTGTTAATTACAAACAAATATATTGGTGAAGACTATTTTCATTACGTGCACACAAATATATATATAGCTACACAATAAATTACGTAATAACACATTTATACTGACAGGCTTTTATTTTGGCCTCGTCGGGTAATTTTCTATAATGGCAAGATCTTTAGAAAGTCTATTCTAAAATAATTATTATAGTTGTCGAAAAATATTTCCGATTTATTTCGAACAAACTTTATTTTTGATTTATTTATTAAGGGGAAATGCGGAAAACTTTGAATATTGTGAGCAAGTTCAAATAACTGTGTTTGATATTTTGTCTTACGTTCGGGTATGATTTGCTGTGAAATGGAAATTATGTTATGGCCTTAAATACGGCTGTATTCGTAGGATGAAATAATAAAAAACATGAGTTTTAATTACCTGTACGGATTGTTTAACCAGGAACGTGTTTCAGTATTTCATCGAACGCATACTGCAATATTTACGGCTAAAACTGGGGTTTTGTATTATGGATAATCATGCTCAAACAAAATCCAATTTTGTAATAATTATTTAACCATGCTAAAAATACTCAGAGTTATTCACATCGCGTATATCGCTTCTTTAGATGCACGATGATATTGATAACTGTCGTGGCGTTTCTATTCGGTATAGCTTCATTCAAATATACGTCACGAATGGAAAACATGTTAAATGTGCTTTTCAGTTTTAATTGATTGCGTACTTTTGTGAAGTTTAACCAGCTGTGTCAAGGTGCAGATAAATGTGTGAACTGATGTTGTTGGCGAGTATCTATGTTCGAATGCATTGTTTTAATATATTGCTAATTCATCAACTCGTCATATATCGGAAAACATATATAAAAAACTTGGAAAGTCTAATTATGAGACTGCGTTAATTGTGACGTCACATTAGTCCGTGATACCATAACACACATATGATAGATTAGACAAGACTCAATCGGGATTAATCGGTACTGACCAAGGATATCGTAATTCAACATTAATGACTCTGTTTTAAGCACAACCACCTGTAACTGCGGCGGTCATTGATATTTCAGCCATTTCGTCATACGATACAACACGCACCGGACAAACACAGTAGAATTTTAAACCCGCTCTTCTCTTTACAACAATTTTCAAATCACTTGACACAAAGTATCGTAATGTCCCCATCAATGTCGAGTGCAGGAAGTTTTCAAGTGTTTGCTGAGAATTCCTAGTGGATGTTTGTGAAATAATTGAAAACAATAACGAGGCCGTTAATAGTTTGAGTTTATTCAAATATTTGGTTAAACGGTGTCATTACGTAACTCACCACCAGTGTCACGTAACTTGATCGACACATACCTGTCAACATTTCCCACTATCCCGCATTTGCCAGTGCAAAGAATATATTTTAAATGTCTCGTTAATGGCCGTGCTACAATATCGATACGGTGTTGGCATATTATCATATATCGCAAAATTTATATAAAGATACTGGAATAAGTTATCCTAATAATAAGTATACCAAATACAAGAAAGTCTGCCGCAATGCTACTGTTGTGCGAATGAAAAAAAATCTTGCGATATTATTTGAGGCCCGATTTCGAACTAAGATCATTACCGTTCATACATTGTATTAACATAGAAAACATGTATCGGAAGGTGTCACATTTATTCAGAATCTGGCTACGACCAACCACGGCCACGGCACGAGTAGGCGTTAACACACAACTATATTCTGTAAATAAACATTTCGATTAAATTATTTTTGAGACGACGTTTCAAATTATAATTTGTACAATCACGTGATATCAAGATAGGATTGAAATTCGGCAGTGAGTTGCCGAATATTGGAAATTCTGTGTATGTAAAACATAGTAGCACAAATTATCAACGAAACGTCTACGTATCACTGGCATTACATTACAAAAGACAAACTTAAATATTCATATACAACTGGCATTATTGCTTAGACATAATTTAGAAACGTCGAGTATCCACCGAAAAACCGATAATTCTATGTTTTTATTATATCAAATGAAACATCAAAAGAAAACACGAAAACAAATTGATTGAGCTGTATTGTAAATGAATATTTTTTTATTTATAAATCTAATTATCATATTTAATTACATACGTTGTAGAAATGAGCGGGTTCAAATGTAATAAAAACACGACTTATTCCATCTGTTGCGTTCTATTTTAGTGACATTCCACTTGATGTATAGTTATGAGGGCAATGTATTGTCAAGTTAGCTTCCCCACACGTATAGATATTTTCAATATGATGGGAAAAGCGGTTCAAACATCATGACCCGGTCATGAGCAGAAATGGAATTTGATTGAATAAAACACAGAAATAAAAGTGTTGGGGTACTTTAAGTCGTGATAGTAAATATACATTTAGGAATGACGTATTATACGACCTACACTTAGTCACAGAGAAATTGCGAGAGCAGTCTATGTATGTTGCACGCCGCGGCGTTGTAACCCATTTTGTCATCATGTCAGTGATTCGTGTTCAGCATCCACGATAAATACAAAATATCGACAATAGCTAGCAATTTAAAGGGAGTGTTCGATTTTCATGTAATTAAAACAAACAAGGTATTTTACACGCGTTGTACACGTCGCCATGTGTCCGATATCAAAACGGGTGCGACGCGAAGATCAATATTCAAGCAATAACGCAGGGACATTATTTTTTTACGACTCCAGTTCCGGAAACAAGCAGTACGTGATGAATGTTATGAGAAAACGCATCGATACTTAAACCATGTAATACATACTAATATACTAGCTGCTGTATTTGACAGAATAAACATGGCCGTCAAACGTCCCGCGCAACGCACCGCGCAATATGATACTCGGTTTTAATTTGCATGTTTAATTAATGAAACACTTTTGAATGAATGATTACATATCAAATGGTATAAAATACGAACACTTACTTGAAATCCTCACTCCACTCTATGGTCAACATGGGTGGGACACCGGGTATTGATCCTGGATTGCTGGGTGTACTGATTGTGATTTTGGTCTCCCTTCAACCCGGTGTATACGCGCAAGGTAAGGATACGTTAATGTGACTACAAGCGTTTAGAACAATGGAAAGAAAAACTTTTATTTTACCAGCGTAACTTCCTACACAATGCTTCAGTCTTGTTTATAGCATTACAAACAAATAAACACCCACAACATTCGTGTAGTTATATCGAATGGCATAGCATTTTATATCTACGAAAGTAAAATACAAGTTACCTATGTCGATATAGATGTATCTTTAACTTGAACGCAGTTGTAAGTACAGCCGTTCCAACTCATCAGAACACACGAAATGTAAGTGTTGTGAATGACAACATGGTTATAACAATTATTCCACAATTCTGATCTCCATATATCGCACAACGCACACGATCTGATGTAGTATTGTATATATTGCTATAGTCTCCTTTAAGCCTTATATTTGCGACAGGCGCATGGGTGGTATGTTGAATTCCTTCACTGAATTTCCACTTTCGAATGTATTGTTTTTCTTAGTCACTATAAGTGTCAACAGATCACCAAAACTAATTACGTAAACCTTTCAATTCATTAAATTTTTCACTTAATGCCTTTGAGTAAAGTTACCTACCCGCATTTTAATACATGCAGATATACGTATAGCAAATTATCTTTTTTTTCTGTTTATTCTTGTGTAAACAGTAATTATGAAAATTATTTATGGTTGCATAGGGAATACATATCGTTATGAATTATTCTTAATATAAATTTCTGAATTGTCTTGTCAAAATCAATATCACAATGTCGAAATGTCTTAGTGTTAATAATTATTCACACGTATGTACATACATACAAATGGCAAGGTTTGCAACACAATATGCCATTTACCATGAAGATTATACTTATGCTTCAAGGGTTCACAGAGGCGGCGGCACGACATTTTGCATGGAGGGGCGAGATCTGCTCACCATCCCTCGCGACCTTACAAGGGGGTCCGGGGCATGCTCCCCCTTACAAATTTTGAATTCTAGACTTCTAGAATTCTAGATTCTAGACCCCCTGTAACGCCATTTCCTTCATTTTGTGGGGCAAATTTTGCCGACACAAAGGGTTTCAGCTTGAATTTAGAGGGGCGACGCGCCCTAACAATTTTCGAAGGGGCGATCGCCACCTCTGCCACCTGTGCCATCGCCACAGTTTCATGTCCGCATTTTGGGTTTGATGAAATGCGCCTTAGCTACAAATGGCCTCCGAGATCTCCTAATATAGAATTTTATTCTATCCTCTCATCGCATTCACTGCTCCAACTATCTTAGTAACATATTCTCGGGAGCGAAGGTACGTCCCAGAACGTATGTTGCCCGTCTATGTTGTTACGTCACGCACCAATGTACCATGTATTTCCATGGGCTCTGCGCAAGCTGCTTTGGTACACAGGTCGAAGAGCCGGTGAAAATAGCCAAAGTCGAGAAAACAGTACAAACTCAACTATGAGACAATCCTAAACAACCAAATGTATATAAATTGCACATGTAAGGGTAATGTTGTTACCGTGCTCAGGGGATTCTCAACAACTGGTCGGAAGCACATTTTATTTAGAGCTTCTACCGTTGTTCACCGGCTACCAGGCGGGTAAATGCCCGGATGTCAACCCGAGAATACCAATGGACCAATGGGCGTGATGACAGGGGAGAATGTAACTATTTGCAGGGCAAGAACAAGTCACGCGACTCTTTTGCTCTCGGCGAGGTTTCGACGGCCATTTGCGTCGAATGTATATTCCACTCGTCAATATTTATTTATTTATTTATTTATTTATTTGTTGCTACCCTTTTAAAGCAGGGGCTCACTTTTACAGGAGCTGCAAAATTAAAGATACATTTCATAAAATAAGTACAAGAAATACTGTTATAGATCAAGAAAAATATCGACGAATTAAGCGACAATGACACAAAAATGTTGATAGTCCAAGACTACATTTTATTTCATTTGTTACCAGGATGTAGCGATGGTACGTTTGGCAAAAAGATGCTGGACATTGACAACACTAAGTCCGACTTCAGTTACGTGACGATGCCGGAATCCATTCCGGATATGACGGAGTTCACCATGTGTTTCTGGGTAAGAAGTAGTGACGCCATAACCAGCAGATACCTGATGACATACAGAAGCAGTAATATCAACTCTGGTAGCATATATTTGTATAATCCAAACAACGTTCAACTGTATGTGAATAACGGCGCCGCCTCTGCAAGTGGGATGGTTGTCAGCTATGGTGTATGGCATCACTTGTGTATCACGTGGGACTCAGCCGATAGTGGGCGATACCATTACTACAAAGATGGTAGAATGAGGTACACGTCGTATAATCTAAAGAACAGCCAGACTATCCTCGGAGGTGGTACGATGATCTTCGGACAGTGGCAAGCATCAATTGGAGGTGGCTTCTCGAAGAGTTACTCTTTTAATGCCGAAATGTCCGCTTTCAACATATGGAATGAGAGAATGGATGTTGAAGCCATTCAGGTAATTAACATAATATGTTTTCCCATAATGCATTTCGGTGTGGTATACACTCACCCCGACTTTAAATGACCTAGCATTTTTTGGTTCATAGGGCACTAATCACCCGTACTCGGTACTGACATCGATTTATTTACTTACGTATCGCCATAATAATACCAAAACATGATGCAATTAATACATATAAAGTGTGATTTGTCATAAATTATAATTTGGCACATTGTGATGCTTTACAGTATATGCCGAGACGTTTTCTCCTTGTTGGTTTCCACTTCCCATTAATCAGCATATTGTTTTGGCGTAAGACTCCATGAAAAGAACACACCAATTTTTGTGTGATTTAAAAGTGAAATGACAAATATTATCAAATACGAAATAAATGAATAAATAAATATTAAGCATGTCCACAAAATGTTCTGCCCTTGTTATTCCTGAATCACGTGAAAAATCACCATGCCTAAATATTCTGGGAATGCTTGTGCCGAAAGCCCCTCACGATTCTCTGGTTTTGAATGTGAAATTAAATTGTGGGCATAATGATGATCTAAACGGGCTTATAAAAATCGCGCCCTCTAGCGACGAACTTGTGAACAGTGTTCCTTACATCATTATTGACGTCATAGAAACGCCCCTGCCACAGAGGGCGCAACTTATAAGAACGGTGCTTTAGAAGTGTATTTCACTAGTATACTAAAGAGGTGTTAACTGTTCTTTTTCTTAATAGGCTATGGCTGATAATCCGTGTGAAGCAAACTGCGGCAATGCGGTATCATGGGCATCCCTAAGCTCTAGTGACTTAGCTTCAGTAACAGTAGAAGATTTTGATATCCGATGTGGTAAGTATAATAAAAGTTGCCAAATCTGGTCAGTTAACTACCAACATTAACAATTGTCAGATTACAATAGACTTTCAGTCGTAGCGTTTGACAGTCTGTACATGAATGAGAACATGGCGTTATACAGTCGGTATATGAATAAAAACGTGGTGTTTTACAATCGGTATATGAATTTAACTATAGCAATTTACCATATGCATCATAATTTAGGGGAACACGCGTGGAACAATAGATCACATTGCCTAGAACGCACTATTCTGAAAAAAAAGCCATTATTTGTTTCCGGTGTCATGATGTAATATAAAGTATTCTACTGCTTTTCCCAGAACCAGAGAAGCCAACGTGTGCCCGAGGTGATTTCAAAGACAAGACATGGGAACTAGATAGTTCTGCTGAGTTTACTTACGCTGAATTGGAAACTGAATTCCGTGACATGTGGGCGTTTACAGCTTGTTGGTGGATGAGAACGAATGACGTTGGCAATTACCGTGCTGTTATGAGTTACTTTGCTGAGGGTGACAATCCAGGTAGCATTATCCTGGAAACCCCACAGAACCTCAGAGCTAGTATCAAAAACTCGTGGTCTTCAAGCTCTGGTATATCCGTAACATACGGACTGTGGCACCATGTTTGTCTGGCTTGGACATCAGAAGGTGGCGTTCTCAACATCTTTAAAGATGGCAGCAAAGCCTTTACGCAGAGTAACTACAGAACGAATCTTCTTCTGAGAGGTGGTGGAAAGCTGATCATTGGCCAACGTCAAGGAAGTATTGGAGGTGGTTTCAACAGAGCCTATTCTTATCTTGGAGATATCTCAGAGTTCAACATGTGGGATTCTTTGATAGAATCCAATGACATTAAGGTAACTAACTCATTTGATACACTATCAAGAGTTTAATCAGTTACATTCCTAGTTTTCAAGTTAAAATCAACATAAAACAAAGAGAGAGACTGGAGTCTATATGAATTACATCAAACATACTAATTTGAATACAGTGTTTTCCAGGTGATACTCATGGCGGTATTCAAAGCTTTAAACAAATAAAACAAGTAAATAATTAACTTGAGAAATTACAGATTACATTTACTTCGATTTCCTACAGCACATGCTCCAATTACGATTTTATGGGAATAGAAAGCTTAAGACATTTACTATTTGTATTTTTTCATTGTCCAGGGATATTCTGAAAACCGTGGCTGTGAAAATGGCTGTGGGAATCTTGTATCATGGCATGGAATTGCAGAGTCTGCTCTTGAGGAAGTTAAAGTAGTGGATGCTGAAGCAACGTGTGGTAAGCTAACCTACATTAGAAAACAATCGATTTGCTTGTTGCAGATTGAATCAGATTAGGATAGGTGCAGGTTTTTCAATTGCCATGTTTTATATTTTGCAGAGAACCGCGTAACAGAGTGTGATGCTGGAGAGTTTCAACGCAAAGTGTTTGATATGGACAACAGCGATGACTTTGCTTATGCCCAGTCCTTTCAAACTATGCCCGATATGAATGAATTCACCATGTGTTTCTGGGTAAGAAGTCATGACGCCTCAACCAGTAGATATCTGATGACATACAGAAGCAGTAATATCAACTCTGGTAGCATATATTTGTATAATCCGAACAACGTTCAACTGTATGTGAATAACGGCGCCGCCTCTGCAAGTGGGATGGTTGTCAGCTATGGTGTATGGCATCACTTGTGTATCACGTGGGACTCAGCCGATAGTGGGCGATACCATTATTACAAAGACGGTAGAATGAGGTACACTTCATATAATCTAAAGAACAGTCAGACTATTCTCGGCGATGGTACGCTTATCCTTGGCACATGGCAAGCTTCAATTGGAGGAGGGTTCTCAAAAAGTTACTCATTCAATGCAGAAATGACAAAATTCAATATCTGGAGTGAAAAATGGAGCAGTGATGCTATTCAGGTGGGTCTGTTGAAGCTTGTTTGCATTGTAACTTCTTATGACTGTATATGATGTATGAAGACCTGCGACATACATATATGTATTTGTAATATGTCTATTTGAAATAATCTATTAGTTACAGGTTTAAAACGTGTATTTACTTTTATTAGGCATTGGCAGAGAATGATTGTGATTTACAGTGTGGTGATGCTATTTCTTGGTCACACTTCCGATCTACTGATATATCTTCTGCAGTTGTTGTTAAGAATTCAGACATGGAATGTGGTAGGTGTATCTATGACACTGTGGGGGCGCTGTTAACTTCACCCCATTTTGCATGGTGCATGGTTTGATGTGGTAGGTAGTGTTTCTTCCCGCAGTGGTGAGGCCATGATTGTTAGTTTTAATTTCCGGTTTTATGACTGCATATACAGATTATTATTTTTTAATGAATGATGTATCATGCTTCATAGGTTCATCTCTTTTAAAACAGCCACATATTATTTTCCTTAGTTTGCTCATGCAATCATTTTTCAGTGGTTACTAGAATAATCATTAAACAACAGTTTAAACATTCTTCAAGGAAAATTTGTTATTTGAGATTTTTGGATTGATGTTTTACCATGTGAAAACAATATTGACATGATACTATCACATTCTTAGCTGGGCCATGATATTTATAAACTGTCAGTTAGCTGAATTGTGTTGTAACCAATGCAAATTAAGTAAATATTAACATAGTAATTTATATGATCTTTTCAGAACCCGAAGAACCAGTTTGTTCGGATGGAGATTTCAAAGACAAAGCTTGGAAAATGGATAGCTCTTCAGAGTATAGCTATGCTGAGTTGCAAACCAAATTCCGTGACATGTGGGCGTTTACAGCTTGTTGGTGGATGAGAACGAATGACGTTGGAAATTACCGTGCTGTTATGAGTTACTTTGCTGAGGGTGACAATCCAGGTAGCATTATCCTGGAAACCCCACAGAACCTCAGAGCTAGTATCAAAAACTCGTGGTCTTCAAGCTCTGGTATATCCGTAACATACGGACTGTGGCACCATGTTTGTCTGGCTTGGACATCAGAAGGTGGCGTTCTCAACATCTTTAAAGATGGGAGTAAAGCCTTCACACAGAGTAACTATAGAACGAATCTTCTTCTGAGAGGTGGTGGAAAGCTGATCATTGGCCAACGTCAAGGAAGTATTGGAGGTGGTTTCAACAGAGCCTATTCTTATCTTGGAGATGTTTTGGAATTCAACATGTGGAGTGACGTCTTACCCATTACTGATATACAGGTAAGGACACATGTTCGCAAAGTGTTCTGATACAGACATATAAGAATATATATTTGATCGTACATTATTTCAATATCATTGTGAATAAGGATTTGATATTTTTGAGTTTTGTCTTATATTGATTGTTTTATTTTAGGGATTTGCTCAAAATCGTGGATGTGATAATGGATGTGGCGACCTCGTTAGCTGGCACGGAATTTCAGAATCTTCTCTTGTTGAAGCTGAAGTTGTTGATGCAGAATCAATTTGCGGTATGGTATATGTTAATTATATGACTATGGATTGGTTAGCTTTAACAGCTAACTTGATTGCAGTGGCTGTGACACTCTGAATGTGATATACATATGACATATTTATCTCAGACTACAATGTACCAACTTCCTATGTACCTCCCAATTTGTCAACAGAGGACAGAGTAACCGAATGTGGTTCTGGTGAATATGAACGTACTGTAATGGAAATGGACAACAGTGATGACTTTGCATATGCTCAATCCTACCAAAGCATAAAAGAAATGAGTGAATTCACCATGTGTTTCTGGGTTCGAAGCCACGACACAACGACTAGTAGATATCTGATGACATACAGAAGCAGTAATATCAACTCTGGAAGCATCTATTTATATAATCCGAACAACGTACAGTTATATGTGAATAACGGAGCTGCAACTGCTAGTGGTACAGCTGTGAACTATGGTGTTTGGCATCATATGTGCTTCACATGGGATTCGGCGGACAGTGGTCGTTACAAATACTTCAAAGATGGTGTTATGAGATACACTTCTTATAACTTAAAAAACAATCAAGTTATTCTTGGAGGTGGCAGTCTTATTCTTGGTCAGTGGCAAGCTTCAGTTGGTGGAGGATTTTCAAAGAGTTACTCGTTTAACTGTGAGATGACTAAATTCAACATCTGGAGTGAAAAACTTGGTGCTGAAGATATACAGGTATGTATATTTCTTTTTCCTTTTAGTGCAAGTGAACAATGGTGGTGTAATTGATAATTAAATTACGATTAATTGTATATATAAACTTGTTATGAATATATATACATACAATGTCAATTAATTAAGTTCTGAAAATAATGAATATTATTTTGTTTTGTTGTTCGCAGGAGATGGCGATTGGAGGTTGTGATAATAACTGTGGTGATGTAGTATCATGGTCTTACTTCCGTTCCACTGACATACCTGACTCAGTTAAAATGAAAGATTCGAATATCAAATGTGGTAAGCTAAATTTGTGTGTTTACAAGAAAGTCGGTTGAAAACTGGACCTAAAACGATCGCATTTTAGTTAAAATATTACGCCAAAAGGCTCAAATTTTGCTGAAATAAGCGACAATCTTAACATATGGAGTAAAAATATTCGGCTCGGCCAACATTTCACTCGTAAGTAGATTGCTTTTAGCAGAATACTTAGATTACATTACATAGGATGAATAGAATAATATAAATACACAATATTCAAACTTATTGTTCCAGAACCTGATGAACCAGTGTGCTCAGGCGGTGCATATGAAGAAAAAAGCATCACATTTGACAGCACATCTGAATATTCATATGCTATTATGAAGAAGGAAATACGCGATTTGTGGGAATTCACAGCGTGTTGGTGGATGAGAACAGATGATACCACCAGTACATATCATACTATGATGAGTTATTTTGCACAAGGTGAGTCTGATTGTTATGGTAAAGTGGTTAGATTATTTATTTCCAATCAGGGAGACTGTGGGTGCGTGGGTGTGATGTACAAATTCACCTTTAATATCGTACATCAGTTGGACTTCAATAAATACGTACACCAACGTTTATCAACCGACATAGAGTTATGTAGGGTACTGTCTGTAATGAGTTACCCGTTTGATATGCATCCTTGATTGGTGGCAATAATAACATTATTTGTTCCTCTAATAGGTGATAGCGTCAGCAGCATTCTTGTAGAAAACCCGTATAATCTGAGAGCTGTTATTAAAAACCAGTGGGGAAGCTCAACAACAGTAGCAGTCAACTATGGGATGTGGCACCACGTGTGTCTTTCATGGGCTGGGGAAGACGGTATATATAACGTTTACAGAGATGGCGGTGTTGCATATACACAAAGCGGTTACTCAAAGGACAAAATTATCCGTGGTGGTGGCACATTGGTTCTTGGGCAAAGACAAGGAAGTATCGGAGGTGGATTCAGTAAGACATATTCCTATGCTGGAGAGATGTCAGATTTTAACATGTGGAATACCTGTTTAGTCTCAGATGATATAAAGGTATGATATTTTAAAGGAGGCTTTTTTGGACTTTAGTCTCAGGTCATGTAATTTACTCTTAAAACTTGGTAAAATAAGTAAATTGTGTCATGTTTATCATGCCCTCCCTACAGCAAGTCCTCTGTTTGAATACACAGTATAAGATTGTATCACCTCGTTGTCAAGTTACAATCAATGTGCTTTATTGCAAATAAATTATACACTGTCACAAAGTAACTATTATATAATATAACATTTCTGTAGACCGCTTCTTAATTAGAGGTAAAAACAACAAACGAGCTTATTTAGCAAACTCTCTGGGTAAAATTAGCATATCTGGCAGGTGGTAATAACCGAGCGTATTGTATATAACCTCATAATAACATGCTCGCACAAACAATGCACTACAAAATCACGTTATATCACGATTCTATGTGTAAATATCAAATTCTCTCAACGTCATTGTGGACAACGAACCATTTAAATAAATAAAAAACACCGAAGTAGTGTGATATCACTGTTATTGCGTTATATAATGAATTCTACGTATATTTTTCTGTTTTATTTGTGTCAACTGTCATTCTAATTCATTTTTGAGGCATCAGAGTTTACCCACCATGTAGTGAGCGGTGTTCTAGATATCGTATTCAAATTCCAATGCTAAACGCACTCCATATAACAAACGCATATATTGGCGAGGCACATGGCAAGAGTGACAACAATTCTAGTACATTTCAACGAACTAGCGATAATACCGACATTATGTCCACACATAAAACAAGCCAAAAAGAGATAGAATGTTTTAAATTGTGATTTTTGCCTTTACGTCGGTTAACGAAACAGACAACAGACCCTGTGAGTGAAAGGGACAAAAGCGCTGATGACGGCACGTTTTCGATTCAAATGCTATGCTGCAAAATGCGCAATATAGTACCATTCTTGGCAATAATAATAATAATTCATATTAGTAGATGTACTACACTCATGTGATCTAGATTCAGTTAGATACATAATCTAGTTTATTCAGTTTCTGTCACAGGACATAGTGTCAGATATAAGACATAGCTACAGCCAATCAAATTGCTAGATTCGGACTAACCATGTTATAATAAGAAATATTATGAACAAACCTTTTGTATTGATTTGTGAATCACGAGTGAGTGATATGCTTCTGCTTAATATAATATTGTAAAACTTCAAATCTTATTTGCTAATCTCTATTACTGGACTTTTAATACTTGCTTACAGGGATTCGTAGAAAACCGTGGTTGTGAAAATGGTTGTGGAAATCTGATCTCATGGGATGATTTCACCAGTAGTGATCTAGTAGAAGTAGATGTCGAAAATTCTGACGCCATTTGTGGTATGTTATAATACATTACTCGTGAGCATGTATGTGCAAATTTCAAATACTAGTGCTAGTGCTGACACATGCATTTTTGTCACTGAAGTCATATTCATGTTTGGGACTACATGACAGGGCTATGCGGCCATCTCTCTATCAAATGGTAATTTTAATGTGCTATCCTGGCATCAACCAGGCTCAGTTGAACACATGCACCTGCGGACCTTAACAAAGGTTCCCCAAGGTCGCATTAGTTAGTGAATGAATCTCAGTCAGTGGAATTGGCCTTCCCATTGAGTCTGTGGCACACTCATCCAGGGTAGGGGTCGACCCTTTTGATGTTCAGCATAAGTTAGGACTTTGGTCGACCGATCATGAGTCTGATGCAACAACCACTATGCAACCAGTAATCAGTGGACATGTCTAGTTGAATACAACTATGACAAATAACATTTAACATTGTCTCAAGATCTATCATGATAATCAGTAGGTCAGCCTTTTAGACGTCCAATACGTCGTTGTATATTTGCAGTTACCTCCCTAACATTACTTTATTAATGAATGCAATCATTTATTCATAAGCAATTTGGTCTTCGCAATAGTAACTAACATCAACATCAAAATTGTTCTATTATAGAAGCACGACAGACTGAATGTGGGAAGGGCGATTTTGATGACAAAAAGTTTGATTTTGATGGAACAACCAACAGCTATGCATCTGTCATGCAAGAAATCCCAGAGATGTCAGCAGCGACAGTCTGCATGTGGATCAAGACGACCCAATCCACAGCTGCCAAGTATATATTCACCTACAGAACATCCAACATCAATGCTGGCAGTATGTACCTGTACAACCCAACCAATCTACAATTTTATGTTGATAACGCAGCTGGAACTAACAGTGGAATCGCTATCAACTATGGTCTCTGGTTCCACACATGTATGACATGGACATCCGCAAGTGGTAAATACCAGTATTTCAAAGATGCTAGACTTAGATACACCAACACTGGGCTAAGGACGAACTACAAAATAGCTGGAGGAGGTTCATTCATCATTGGGCAGTGGCAAGCATCTATTGGTGGGCAGTTTGGTACATCGTATCCATTTGATGGTGAAATTGCCAAGTTCAATATGTGGAGCAAGGTACTTCCAGATGCCGATATAGAGGTCAGTAAAAGTTGTATTTAGTCGTTGTTAAGCATTGTTTCCGTCCATAACATCAACCAACAAAATGATAAGTTGAATTGACAATAAACACAGGGCGTACGTTCACTTCATAGGCAATGTTTGCTGAACCATGTGGATACATGTGTGGTGACGTCATTTCCTGGACGTTCTTCAGATCTGATGACATTGCTGGCATTACAATAGGAGATTCTGATGTACAATGTGGTTAGTATTTTTGCACTTGGGTAAATAACATATATTATTGATAACAAAAACATATTGATATTGAGTTTTGATACAATCTAAGTATTCTTTACAGTTATTAGGGATTATATTCTTTTATTTGTATTCTACAGAGGAAGAAGAGGTAGTCTGTTCTGGTGGACCCTACACAAATAAAACATGGACGATGGACAGTTCTGCTGAGTACACATATACCGTTGTCCCAGCTGAGTTTCCAGACATGTGGGCGTTTACATCTTGTTGGTGGATGAGAACGAATGATGTTGGTAATTCCCGTGTTATGATGAGCTATTTCGCCCAGGGTGATAACCCAGGAAGTATTATTCTAGAAACACCGAAGAATTTACGTGCATGCGTTAAAAACTCATGGGCATCTAGTTCTGGGATATCTATAACATATGGTCTCTGGCACCACGTTTGTCTGACTTGGTCATCTGATGGAGGTGTTCACGAAATATATAAAGATGGTAGCCGTGCCTTTACTCAAACAGGCTACAGGACTAATCTAATATTGAAAGGAGGGGGACAACTAATCATTGGTCAACGCCAAGGCAGTATTGGCGGTGGATTTAACAGGGCATATTCGTACCTTGGTGAAATATCAGATTTCAACATGTGGGAAGAAGTATTGCTTTCATCTAAAATACAAGTAAGTAATTGACTTATAAAATCGTGATAAATATGTTTTCATGTAGTTTTTGAATTTATTTTCTATTTAGTTAATCGTTGAATGACTGTTCGAATATATTTTGAAGGACTTTTCATCAAATCGTGGCTGCGAAAATGGTTGTGGAACTCTTGTTTCATGGGCGGATATCACTTCATCAGCTCTGACGGAAGTTGAGGTCAATGACGCCGAATCAGTTTGCCGTAAGTATATTAGAGTAATAGGATCACAGTTAACTGATAATTCAACATCATTGTGGGAAAAGAAAAGTAAATGTTATATCCCCTACATATATCTAACCAAATCAACAAATGCATATGATTTAGCGAATGTACGAGATGGTATGAACATGACTATCTAAGAGTACGTGATTTTGATTTCGAATTCGCTGAAAACATTTGCTATCTATTTATTCTTCAGAGCCAAGAGTGTCAACCTGTGAAGGCGGAGAATTTGAGCGAAAGGTACTTGATATGGACAATAGTGGAGATTATGCTTATGCTCAGTCATATCAAAACATTCCTGATATGAATGAATTCACCATGTGTTTCTGGGTACGAAGCCGCGACGCCACGACCAGCAGATATCTGATGACATACAGAAGCAGTAATATCAACTCTGGTAGCATCTATTCGTATAATCCAAACAACGTACAGTTATACGTAAATAACGGAGCTGCAACTGCTAGTGGAATCATTGTGAATTATGGCCTGTGGCATCATTTGTGCTTTACCTGGGATTCAGCTGACAGTGGACGATACCATTATTACAAAGATGGTGTCATGAGATACACGTCATATAATCTGAAGAACAACCAAGCTATCCTTGGAGGTGGTACGCTTATCATTGGCACATGGCAAGCCTCGATTGGAGGAGGTTTCTCAAAGAGTCACTCCTTCAATGCGGAAATGACACAATTCAACATCTGGGGGGAAGCGAAAAATTCAGAAGCCATACAGGTATTCCAATTATCATGTGATGTTACGCATTCAAATGAACATCATATGTGATTTATATGCTTTAGAATATTGTTTAATATTAAGTACTACGAGACAATATATTGTGTGTGCTGCATTAATGTATCCAATCAAAAAGTTTCATCATGTATCATTAATTTGAAATTGAAAAGCTTTTAATTCGCACACTTGTGACATTGTTTTAGTTCATGCATCCCACGTCAGGTAATCTATTATACGTCGTTTTTCAATAGGCAATGTCAACAAACGATTGTGGTTCATTGTGTGGTGATATAGTGTCTTGGGCATACTTCCGATCTAGTGACGTCTCATCAACAGCAGTAATTAAAGACTCTGACATAAAATGTGGTATGTATAATTATATTATTAGTTATGATCAGACCAATTTTGTGCATTGTAATTTTAATGAATACCTTACCATGGTTTATGCACATGTGTTTTTGCTAGTTGAATACATAGCTGTGTTTTCAATAAATAAATGAGTACCAATGAGTAAATATTTAACTTACAAACAAACTTACAATCTTACAAACCTAAATTATATTTTCAGTTAAAGAAGTGCCAGTGTGTGCTCGTGGTGAGTTAGAAGATAAGTCACTGGTTATGGACAGTTCAGCTGAATACACGTATGCCCAGATTGCAACTGAAATCCCTGATCATGACTTGTGGGAATTCACAGCGTGTTGGTGGATGAGAACGAATGACGTTGGCAGTTATCGTGTTATGATGAGCTATTTTGCACAGGGTGATAACCCGGGAAGTATAATATTGGAAACTCCCAAAAATTTAAGAGCCAGCATCAAGAACTCCTGGTCGTCAAGTTCTGGAATATCAGTGACGTATGGACTATGGCACCACGTGTGTTTCGCATGGACATCGGAAGGCGGTGAACTAGGCATATTTAAAGATGGAAGCAGAGCATTCACGCAGTCAAACTATCGAACCAACTTGATCCTTAAAGGAGGAGGGCAGCTTATTATTGGTCAGCGACAGGGTAGTATTGGAGGTGGTTTCAACAGAGCTTATTCCTACCTAGGAGATATTTCAGAGTTTAATATGTGGAAAACAGTTTTAGCATCATCTGATATACAGGTAGACCATAAGCTTAATTACAAACATCACTATAAGTCTGTGTTCACTGCAATTCAACGCAAGTACAATTTCTCGGTGTCATGATAAAACAGTTTGTTTATAAATTTGTAGATAAGATAATATTTTCGAATAAATAAAAAAATCAGAAAATGTTTTAATACATTTCACTATTACTCAAATGATGAATGAAATTGAGATACTTTCCAATGTTGAAACACTCAGTAAGACATGTGTCAAGCATCTAATTAATATTGTGCACCTATTAGAAATACATTGCTGTTTGTGATGCAATTTCTTACCATTACTCTCAATATTGTAGGCATTTGCTGAAAACCGTGGTTGCGAAAATGGTTGTGGGGATCTTGTCTCATGGCATGAAATTCCAGAATCAGCAGTAATAGAAGCAAAAATTGTCGAAGCTGAAGCAATCTGCAGTAAGTGAAAGAATTATTAAACTTTTTCGAATGAAAAAATAGGCTACAGTTATATCATACTTGTGAATATTTTGAGTCATGCTACACTTTCAAATTTCGTTTCCCTCGATATTTGTAGAAGAAAGAAATACTGACTGTGAGGGTGGTGAATTTGATGGCAAAGTATTGAATATGGACAATTCAGAAAACTATGCTTATATTCAATCATATCAGACCATTCCTGATATGAATGAATTCACCATGTGTTTCTGGGTACGAAGCCGGGACACTACAGCAACCAGGTATATCATGACATACAGAAGCAGTAATATCAATACTGGAAGTATCTACGTGTACAACCCAACAAATGTACAACTCTACATCAATAATGGTGCTGCCACTGGTAGTAGTGTTGCAGTGAACTATGGTGTGTGGCACCATTTGTGCTTTACCTGGGATTCAGCTGACAGTGGACGATACCATTATTACAAAGATGGTGTCATGAGATACACGTCGTATAACCTGAAGAACAACCAAGCTATTCTTGGAGGTGGCACTCTTATCCTTGGCACATGGCAAGCCTCGATTGGAGGAGGTTTCTCAAAGAGCTACTCCTTCAATGCGGAAATGACAAAATTCAATATCTGGAGTGATGTTATGAGTGCTGAAAATATACAGGTATATACCATTGTAATTTGACTGCCAAATAATTCTGTTGTTTAAGTAACAGTGTAGGTGACCTTATTTATCATGTACACTTAGGGAGGTGATTAAAATTAAACCACGGGTTTGAAAAAATTATAGAAATTGATTCAAAGTTCATGGAGCCGAAATTCCTGTCCTGTTAGATAATTCCAATTATTTTTAGTGCCGGTGGGTCCAAGTCAACGAAAGTTAGTTAGACCTTTCTTGTTTAAAGGAAAGTGAAAAATGAATCGTTACATAGTCACGATATCATGAATAACGGCGTCATATAATCCCATTATTACTATAATTATAGCTGCGAATATTTGTAGAATGTGGACGTAATCGTATATTTTGGAAACTGTGTACCGCCAATCCAGCGTTTTATCAAAGTTGCGTAGTAACAATTTTATGAATTTGGTGTGCGCAACAGTCAAAATCGCCATCTTTGTTTATAGGTGACCCATAATAATCGTTGTATGTCAATAATGCACATTGTGTCTCTATAAAACTTATAAAAACTTCCCAATGTTTCTATTCTATAGACAATGGCTGTAGGAGGATGTGACGCCAACTGCGGTGATATAATTTCCTGGTCATATTTCCGACACAGTGACGTGTCATCTGCTGTTGTGATCCAAGACTCTGACATAAAGTGTGGTAAGTTTTGAATACATTCTATGATTCGATATTTGCATATTAGCTAATTTAAAAAAAAAAACAGCTCGCATCACAGTATTAGTATTCACACAAAAATCACGATATATTTCTCATATCTGGTAACTTCATATTCCTCACCTCAATAAATACTCATTCTCCTAATTACTGCCTGCTTGATATATTTGATTATTGTACAGAACCTGAAGAACCTGTCTGTTCAGACGGAAGATACGAAGGAAAAACGCTTATCTTTGACAGCACATCTGAATATTCATATGCTATTATGGAGAAGGAAATACGCGATTTGTGGGAATTCACAGCATGTTGGTGGATGAGAACAGAGGATACCACCAGTACATATCATACTATGATGAGTTACTTCGCTCAAGGTAGGCTTACATTTGTTATATATGTAGATGTATAATTCAGATTCATTTAACATTCGAAATATGTTATCCATGCATGCACTAAGTATCTATATTCAAAGAATACATTCTTGCATTTGGCTTGCCGCAGGTGACAGTGTTAGCAGTATTTTGCTTGAGAACCCATATAATTTGAGAGCCAGCATCAAGAACCAGTGGGGAAGCTCTACAACCGTGGCAGTCAACTATGGGATGTGGCACCACGTGTGTCTTTCATGGGCTGGGGAAGACGGTATATATAACGTTTACAGAGATGGCGGTGTTGCATATACACAAGGCGGTTATTCAAAGGACAAAATTATCCGTGGTGGTGGCTCATTGGTTCTCGGACAAAGACAAGGAAGTATTGGCGGTAAATTCAGCAAGACATATTCATACGCTGGTGAAATATCTGATTTTAACATGTGGAATACACAACTTGATAGTTCTGACATAAAGGTATGTGTAGATTGGACACTGTGAATAGATAAATCTGTATGGAATGGATTGATTTTATTTGTTGCCAGGCAATAAATATTTATGTTTTTATATATTCTGTATATAAGTTAATTCTGTGAAATCGGAACATGAATTCATCACAAATATGCTTGCCATAT